AGCTGATGAGAGAGCGGCGTTCTTTTGATTTTCAAACAAGTCGTCGGTTGGCTCCCGGCCTATATCTGCCATGTATTGGGCTTCCCAGCCGGGAAGCGCGGAGTCATGCCGTGAGTTGCCGTAAACCGTTTCACGAGACGACCACAAGTGTTCACGCGGTAGCAACATCTTCCTTGGAAGAGACAGTGGTCTCAGCCCGGATGCCAATCGCCCTGCTAACTGAGCGAGCAGTTCCGCAGACCCTTTTGAGATTTGTTGCGGTAACCCTTTTGATGTATGCTGTCGTGAGCTTGGGACCCCTCGCCCAGCGGCGCGCACATGACAAGGAAGAGCCACGTTGGTGCCACATTGCAGTGCAGTGGCCACGCCTTAATAGTGAACGTTTACTTGGCCGTGTATGCGCGCCACCCTCACAGGTTGTTTATGGCTGTGACACGTGATTGGACAGTGCCATCTGTATGCGTTCTCCGATCTACGGATCTGGGGAGAAGGTACCCTTTATTGTGAGCTACCCGGCTCATTCGAGGAGAGCTCGCCATGTACAGTGTCAATTTTTATGAAAAGGAACATGGGAGCGCGTGGCCTGCGCGCTCCGGCGGCTGCTGGCAGCACGTTCAAGCGGAAGCGAGAGCAACCACAGTCTCTTTTCGCGTCATCTCGCGGCGAGCAAAAGAACCATTCGTTGCTTATATGGAACGAGCGTCCAGACTGCGACCCTCTCCCCTTCAAGGCGATTACGGGAGAGCCGTTAATCGCCTTGAAGGGGGAGGGGTTGCAATCTTGCTGTTATATATCAGCAACGTGTTTACACCGTGTTTACACCATGTTACACCGTGTCACGCCGTGTTTACAGTGCAAAGTCGTCTTTTTTATTAGTTGCGTTTCATAAACGTTGTGAGAAAAACTAAGACATGTTAGAGAAAAGAAGCAGCCCATACCGCTCATAGGTCATAACTCTCCTGAGTTAATTAGTGAAAATTGCCCATTTGCAACGCTCTAGAGTTCCATATTGCCACGTGGTCATGACGTTGACGAAAGCAGCAGTCTGTATGTCCAAGATTAAACTTAATTTCGCCGAGCTTGAGACCGGTAATTAGAAAGTCTGATCAAAGCAATACATACTGGCTCTTAAAACGGCGAAGAGAGTGTCGGCCTTCGATCAATGCGGCAAAAAGCGGCGGCATTTACACATGCGGCAGCGAACATGCGCGCATTATCACTGGTAATCGTGTTCGTTCGAGAATGAACTCGCTGTTCGTGCTTGCGTGCGCAATTAAGTAACAGATGATCCTAACATAATCTGCAATGATCTCGGACATCGTGGCGCAGTTCGCGTAAGGCGGAAACAAAAAAAAAAGGGGGGGGGGGCGTGTGTAGCAATATAATGCTTCATATAGGAGCTCTTCATGTGGTGCGAAGTGACATAAGCTTGGGTGCTTCGACTCGGGGGCAGAAAGGTGAGCAGTTTTTTTATGTGTGTGGACCCCTTCATTACAGCACCTCTTGTATATAATTAAAACAATTTTGTATGCATATTTTTTCAAAGTCATTAACCCCCAGTATATTAAGCAATACCAGCCACAGCCGAAGGGAGGAAGGACAACATACATGGCTTGTTGCTAACTTACTACCCACACCAAGTACAAAACTGAGCATGAAGGTATTGGTATTGTATGTTGTCAAAGCTTGTCTTTAAATTCACCTTGACGATATTAAAAAAAATCTCCGATGTACCGGTTCATTGCAGTTGAGTATAATGAACTAGCTAAACTCTCGAAAGTTGTGCGCTGTAATTAGAGCTTCTCAAATACCTTAGCATGCTACTGATGGGCTGGTTGGTGAGCCATGATATTTATGAAGCAGCGCACACTGGACATAATCACGCACACACTAAAGTAAAGCCAACACAAGCGCAGTCGGTCGCAGTCCGATGCTTGCGCTTGCGTCGCTCATTTTGACGCCGTCTCGCTCTGCCGTTGTCAAGAAGGAGTATAGTAAGGAAAAAGAAGCAACATAAGTTTCCGAATATCAACACGTATTTTTACGGTTCTCGACAATAGCTGTCAGCGTTTGAATATACTTCGACATGAAGCTCATTTTCTTTCTTTTGAAGTTCTAGCATCACAAGAGAGCTATAGACTGAACGGGGCGTATTTTTACTTCACTGAGTTGGTTGGCACATAGCACAAGTACAAATCCCCACAAGGAACGTCTACATTCTATAGAAAAAAAGAGCCCCTCTGTCTGTTTTATAGAATCCTGGCTTGCCAATTATATTACTCATATAAAGGAGGCACGTGAACTTTAAATATTATGATACCCTCTACGGAGAGTCGTTGGGCCCAAAACAGAGTTAACATGTGTCTTTAAAAAAAATCGCATACTTGGCAAGCGCCTCAAAGTACAGCATGCTATTTTCTTAAGTGTATGGGAAAAAACAGGGTGAAGTTCTATTTATTCTCCTTGAACAAGTCGTATCGAAATTGGCTGCGATTCATTAGCATAAAGTGCCAAATTTAATACTTTAGATATTTCCATTTGGTCTCTTCTTTATGCGCATTATTAACTACAGTGCGGTCGATCTCCCTCGTGTGTAGGAGTCGGATATTCGGGCCGCAGCAAGAACAGTTACAGACACCGTCGTGTGCGCTCAATTCGCATTGTTTGTTGGGCACAAAGTAATAAAGTCTCTTCATTTTTTTCGATTTTTCCATAATGCATGTAAATAAAGTCAATAGCCTAAGTCAATGTTTTCGTGCAGCAGTTCGTTATGCGCTGTCAGTATCTGTTCATGGCACCACTGTATATCATGACAAACATGAACGCCCGTGGTCGTGGCCAGCAGGCATTTATCTTGTTGGCCGCAATTATACTTTACTTTTGAAATAAATGCATAATTCACTTCAGATTTTTATCAGAACGACTCTTTCTCTGGGAGTGTATTTTTTTTACTACTTTTCAAGCTGGTTCTTAGGTGGTCGAAATTTCCGGAGCCCTCCACTACGGCGTCTCTCATAATCATATGGTGGCTTTGGGACGTTAAACTCCACATATCAATCAAATCAATCAGTTTACATGCTGGTTTCGTGAGTATTATTTCTATTGAAAGGGTGTTTCGATTCTGGTAAACTTGGTATGCCGCACGTGCCGTGAACTATTCGCAGTTACGTTGCTTTAGGCAATAGATTGCATTCGCGGTTAGAACGACGTAACAATAGAAAATATGTGCTCGAATGTGCCACTGCTGCAAGACACATATTGCAAAGTTCTGATGTCGGACGTGCACGCCCACTTATTGTAAAATGCATGTTTGTGATGACTTCGACGAGTGAGCCGTAGGGGCCGATTTATTTGTGATCGGTGTGCGGGGCCGATTTAGCATTTCAGGTGCGCGGGAATTACCATGATGGTGATAGCGGTGAAATGATGAAGCTAGTCTATGCGCGTGTTCGTGCGCGTACCTCGTGAAAAGCTCCCGAGCCACGGGGACAGCTCGGCTAACCTCGGAGGGCAGAGCGCAAGAACAAGTTCGGGCCATGCCCCGACTGCTCGTTCTGACCCTCGGTGTCCGGGCCTGTTCTGGACTGGGCATCGCCCCACCTCACCCCCGGGTTGGTCCGAAGCAACGTTCTTCACGGCCAGCCGCTGTTCTGGTCTCGGAGCGAACGTACGCAGCCGGCTTCGATGGTTGTCGGGGCTTTCGACCCCGTGTCCTGGGCGCTCGCTTCAGTCGAGCGTGACCTGGACGTCAACAAGACGTCATGGCGCGGGACAACGACTTAAGCTCGAGCCAGCGAGCTACACGAGAAGGCGTGTCTCACCGCGGACGCTACTGCGATGGACACAACGCCACGTTGTCCGGTGCTGCGGTCACCGCAACCACGGCGCGCGTGAATGTGGTTTTCTAGACTTGGTGTCGTGGGAGCGAAGCATGCTGACCGTAACAACGTAGACTTTCTCCTCGCGCAAAAGAAACCTTATGGTAGACTTTCTGTTTGTCATTGCGAGATTTTTTCGTGTGTGTTCTTGTCCTCGTCCGATATAAAGAACGTCTTCGTGTTATCAGGTTGTCATGAGTACGTCCAATGACCTGGGCCCATTGAGTAAACCCCCTTGCTCACCACAATGTTTCGTTCACACACACACACACACACACATCTTTCTCAAGCATGGCAAATATTTCGAAATCATTGCGAAAAATACTGCAAAGACTAACCAAGCAGTTTGTTTTAATACCGTATGCACGACAACATTGCGATCAGTCACCAATACAAAGAGTACTTAAGCGCGAGGTCAGCTGAGGGCTTACATGGTCAGGTTGGCTAATGTCCACATAAAATGAGTAGCAGCGCGAACAATGGCACAAGACAGTCGTCTAGCGGGTTATTCGCACTGCTACTCGTTTCCACCGGTCGACTTAGAGCGTGCGCACACAGTATTTCTTTATCCTTACACGTTAGGCAATAACCGGCGCAAGTTAACTTCTCGGCTGACCTCTGCGGAATCCAGATGACCCGGACAACGTAAACTGCAAATAGCTAAGGAAGCTAAACATGCTTTTCCTGTTGGCACAACGCGCGTCCTTCCCATTCACCCCACCATTCATGGGTTGTGAACACAGCACGAAAAAGAGACAAGGACTAGCCCAACTTACTCTTCTAGTTCACCATGAGTTGTTCTTTTTGTATTATTCTTCTGATATCGGAATTCAAATCGCCAGTCATTTACGCGCGCGCAATCGCAAAAGCACTCTCTCCGGGCAACGCGCACGCCAGTTTAGCAGAGACCGGCACAAGGAAGGGGGCGTGCCCGCTCTCGGCTCCTCGATAGAGCTGAAGAGGAGACTGAGGAAAAGCGCGCCAAGGGCAAAAGTGCCCCGAAAGAGTCGATACAACTGCCACACGCGTACACCTTCCCGCGCATTTGTGCGCGCCCTAGAACTTCACGTCTACGAGAACCGCTGACGTTCAGAGCAGCAAAAACAGCGCCGAATCACCTACCTGCAATTGGCAGTAAAAGCGAAGGTCCTGCCGCCTCGGTTTGCTTGTATTCACAGCCGGCGGCCGACAGCCGACTAACTCAGCGTCAAGGAGAATGAGAGCGGAATGAAACGAAAGAAGACTGCAGGCGCACCGAGCGAGCTGCGGCGAAGAAGCGAACCGCGCTTCGCGGCGGAACTGGCGGGCCAGCCGCCAGAGGGCAACGGCGCGGAGTCGAGCGTCGCGTCGGTTTTTTAGCATCGGCTAGCCTGTGGGCTAGCGGAGACAGGGGCGCGCCTTCTGCGGCCCAAGTAGCGACTTTTCGAGGCGCCAGCAACGTGTAAACAAACTTTGACGGGCTGGTCGATTCGGATGGCGCGGCCCCGTCAGAAGCGTAACTAATCAAGACTCATGTGAACGGAATACTTGACACTGTCACGTAGTTGGCGTTTTGAACAGATCTCTGTCGCTGCCTCTAAGCGAAAGTTTTGCTGAAGGCTCATTCCCAGCATTTTCTCGTGAATTGTTACGCCGCTGCTGCGGTGCAGAGATGCAAGTGATTCGCGCACGGGTCCTTCGCTGCGGCAAATGAGACGCACGAGGGTCGAATTGTTCACGTGGTTTTCTCTCTATAAGCAACTAGCATGTTAGGCCGACTAGCTCGTAAGCAGGCACTGCTATACCTTTCTCACGCACTCTAACGGCGCGTCTGGAGAAAATGGAGAAAGAAAAGTAAAATGTAGACAAAAGGCAAGCTGGCGGCGAATGGCAGAAGCGAAACGTGACGAATGTGGAATTCAGTGCATTTTCCTGCGCGCCTGACACCAACGCGTTTTCCGTTACACTAATGATAAAGGGTGGCCAAGTGAAAACACGCCAACGCGCTGGATTGAGGATTGTCAATAAGACAATCTAAAGCATTCATTTTGTCGTCCAATCAGTGTCGTCTAGTGTATCCGTGCTTGATCGCACGTGTATACATACCAGCTGCCGCAGGTGTGTTTGCTCAGCTAAACGCACTTTTGGGCTGGATTATTGGCATTGGCACAAAAACCTTATTGACTGTTTCAACCATCAGATTTCCGCTATGCCATTTACGTAGATGTATTTTACCTTCGCCGATAGAATGAAAGTCCGTTTTTTGGCACGACGGAATTAGCTGTTGTCTTTTAAGAGCGGAGATGTTTATGGTAGCCATCGGTCGTCATCCGTGAACAGAAAGCTATCGTTATCGTAAACCGGCATGTGTTATCTCCGTTCTCTTCCTCGTCCTCTGTTTCATTCTTAAAGCACGTGCTCTAGTATGTCCGGCGTGCGATGGAATAAATCTGATGGGTGACAGAGAGAAAGATGTAGAAAGTTAAAGAAAGAGAGATTATTTTTACACAAATAAAAGTGTCTTGATGAGGTGGGACTCAAACCAACCTAGCCACACTCCAAAGGCGAGCATTGTAACAACTTCATTATACGGGCACGCTTGCAGAGAAAAAAAGCGCTGAGGGTGAGGAGGAGAGATGTGATACTGATGAAGAGGAGAAGAAGGAGGGGAGAAAGTGAGACATATAATAGAAATGAAGAATTTAAGAGAAGGAAAAGAAAATTGGCAGATTCCATGTACAGTGGGAATCGATGATATGCGAAGCACGAATGAGAAAGGTTGATATGTCACTTTAAAACCAGAACAATGTTACGAGGCGGACGTAAATTATGCCATACCAGAATTCCATGTTATCATTATTATGTTCGGATGTGTGATTTACATTCGTTGCCTATTAACTTCACGTGATACCAAGTAGGGTATGCTTATAGCCACTACTTTGAATATGCATATCTCAGCCAAACTTGGCTGTCGGTAATAATTACATTGCAAGTAGCATATCAGCTGCAGTGTGACCAATTGCAACTTACTTTTCAAACGACTCATTGTCCACTTCATTTGAACTGCAGCTATCGGAGGAGTCGCAATCGGGTCTGCGGAATGGATGGTCGTTTTTCTGTTACATTCCTTGCATCATCCTCGGTGCCTAAGAAAATATGACCAGTAAATATGACCAGTAAATGTGACCAGGGGGCACGCCACCGCAACGATCACGGTCATGAGACTTCCCCTGTTTGCGCAGGTTTTTGCCCTTGCGATCATGGCTGGCCCACTCGTCGTCACCACGGTTCCTACTTCTGCACGGAATCTACCCTGGCCCGATCTTGGGTTTCCTGCGATGACTCCAATGCCTGAAACCTTCGACGCAGCGACCCTCGGATCACAGCTGAATACTGGAACCAAAAGCTACCCTCCACGTTTGGTGACTGATTGCGATTTCGGCGGGCACTGTGACATCGTGCTACCAGGCGTGCGGGTGATACGCCCCTCCTACAAAAGCCTTTGTCACTCTGGAATCAGCTGGGGCACGCCACCGCAACGATCACGGTCATGAGACTTCCCCTGTCTGCGCAGGTTCGTTATTTACCGTACGCCATGAGCGTTCATTTTGATGACCGTTACGTTCTTGCGGTGCCGTGCCCTTCAATCGGCCTGTGTGGTTACCTATGTGGATCGTTATGCCAGTCGTTGTACTTGTTATGTATCGATTTTCACCTTGCTAGTCTTTTGCTTCTGATGTCAGGAGACGTCGAACTCAACCCTGGTCCTACTAGCAAAAACTCCTCCACGTCCCTTGAAACTATAGCCAGTGCTATTTCCCACCTTGAACAAGGTCAAAATGCTGTACTGGCGGAGCTAACCCTTATTCGTGCTGATAACTCAAACATAAAAAGTATGGTTAGCAACCTCGCCGCTCGAGTTGATGCACTGGAAAGAGTGGCTCAGACCAGTGAGCCTGTATCGGACTCTAACACTAGCTCCACAATCACTAAACTTGCTTATGAAGTAAGGGAACTAGCTGCACAATGTGACGACTCGGAAAATCGCCAGCGTCACTGTAATCTAATTTTCTTTGGAATGCCAGACGCGGAAGGTGAAACATGGGCTGAGTCCAAATCGCGAGTAATGGCTTTTTGCTCGGAAAGTCTCAGCGTAACGCTTGACAGAGACGCAATCGAAAGGGCCCACCAGCTGGGCCATTTTGAAGGCACTAAGAACCGTTCGATAATCGTAAAACTTGGACATTTTAAAGATAAAACTAGAATACTTGCGGCTGGATCCAAACTTAAGGGCTCTAATTTCCAAATTCGTGAAGACTATTCTTCTCGTGTTCGTCTAGCCTGTAAGAATCTTTACTTGTTTGCTCAAAAAAAAAAGAAACGCCCATTTAAAATTAGGTTTGATAAGCTTCTCATGGAAAATAAACAGTTCACGTACAATGCTGATACAGCATCTGTTGTCGAAGTAAAGTAGCAATTGCTACATGCTTACGAATTCAGTATCTAATAAAGCTGCACCTGTGCCTTCTCTGCCCCGTTCACGTCATACTTTGTCGGTCCTACTTGCGAATGTGCGCAGTTACCTGCCAAAAAAGAAGCTATGGGGGCACTCCTACTTGACAACAACACCGAAGTAGCAATTTTTACTGAATCGTGGCTAAATGAAAACATACAGAGCAACGAGATTCTACGTGATCTTGGGTCCTTCACAATTTACAGACGAGATAGGGTTGAGAGAAGGGGAGGGGGAATTCTGGTTCTAGTCAAATCCCACTTGCACTCCTATAAGGTACATATAAACAGCAGCTATGAAATCCTCTGCATTAATCTGCCTGTTGCCTCGGGTAAACACATACTGGTCACCTGCTATCGACCTCCAGACTGTGACTATGCTTTTATTAAGGACCTGCACTCGGTGTTAGTTGATTTGAACTCCCGATTTCCTCGTGCAAAATTCTTTCTGTGCGGGGACTTTAATCTTCCCGATATAGACTGGGCCAACCTTGAGGCCCCTTCCCGGCTATCAAATGACTTCATTCAACTGTCCCTCCTATTCAACCTCACGCAGACAATTAATACTCCGACTCGTGGTGACAACATACTCGATCTTGTCTTCGCTTCCCACCCTGACCTTATTCACTCACCTACGTGTATAGAAGGCCTGAGTGATCACTGTACCATACTATTCAACCTCTCTATTCCAGTACCTAGGCATAATTCACGGAAGAAGCTCATACGCGACTACAACAAAGCCAACATCCACGCAATCATTACCGAATTGGAAAGCTTTTATAGTTTCTTCTCTCAAACGGCCATCTCCAGAAGCGTAGAACAGAACTGGCTGCTGTATAAACAAAAGGTCTTGACGCTAATCGAAGAATATGTTCCACTATTGTCTGTTCGCTGTGACGATGACAGTCCTTGGTATACAACTTCTATGAAAAAACTCTCACAAAAGAAGAAACGCCTTTTCCGCGAGGCAAAACGTAGCATTTCTTCATTGAAATGGGACAAATATTTCACTTGCCTTCGGGAATATACTAGCGCGCTGAAAAAAGCCAAAAAGAAGTATTACCATGAAGATCTCCTAAAAATCATCCGCGACAAACCTCAAAAATTTTGGAACATTATCAACCCCAACAATTTAGCGCATAACATTTCACTGTGCAATCCTGATGGCTCACGGGTTCCAGCTCAGCAGCGCTTTGACTTGATGAATTCTTACTTTTCCTCAGTCTTTACTAATGAGCCGTCGGGCAATATCCCCTTTGCCTCCAAGTATAACTTTCCCCAGATGCCATCCATCACCATAAATGCTGAAGGTATCCTAAATATTATAAACCGACTAAAAACATCGAGTGCCCCTGGTCCTGATAACATACCGGCAAAGCTACTAAAATTCACTGGAGCTATTTCTAGCCACATTCTGCAAATCATATTTTCTCAGTCCCTCTCCGAAGGTATCATACCTGCGGACTGGAGGGTAGCCAAGGTAACCCCAGTATTCAAATCAGGTGACCGTTCTAACCCATGTAATTATCGTCCTATTTCACTGACATGCATTGCCTGCAAATGCCTCGAGCACATTATTTATTCGCACGTTGCCCGCCACCTCGATAACAACGGGTTTTTCTTCAAAAATCAGCACGGCTTCCGACCTGGTTTGTCCTGCGAAACTCAGCTCTTTGAATTCACTGCCAACCTCCACCTAAATTTAGATTCTTTATTTGAACTGACGTCATATACATAGACTTCTCTAAAGCCTTCGATCGTGTCGCTCATCAACGACTAC